ACACACACACACACACACACACACACACACACACACACACACACACACACAGAGAGAGAGAGAATCACATACACATTCATACACGGATACACATAGATACAAACCCACATAAAGACACACACATAGACACACACGCACACAGTCACAGACATGCAAGAACAGACACACGCGCGGGCACACACACACACACACACACACACACACACACACACACACACACACACACATACACACACACACAAACACACTCACAGACACACAATCACCATGAGACCGTCATCGACCTCCATTTTTATGGAGACAGAACAAGTTAAGCCAGCTGGAAAATCCCCGAGCAGCATTAAATCAGTCACAAACGCTGACAGCACTATAGTGCAAAATCTTGCTTCTGGGGGCGGCTAGGTGCCCTCAGGTAATTTCAGTCGAAAGACAAACGATGCGATTCTTTTCTCCCTCTTCTTCGTCGCATGAAACTCTGGTGATGAAAAAAGAACAGAAATAAGGACAGAAACAATACCCAACTCCCAGTGTGTAGATCCAGTTTCAGAAATCAAAGAAGAAACAAGGTTAGCGGGAGCAAAGGTAAAGGATGGAACTGTTGTAATTGTTGAGAAAAGGATCGTGGAGGGGAGTACAGTTGTGGGTATGTCAAAGGTGCGGTAAAGCTTACAAACTTAAGGAGAGAGAGGGGGTAAGGGGGTGGGGGAGGGGTGGTGTGGGTATGTGTGTCTATGCGTATGTATGTGTCTGTGTAATAGAGATTGGGGGGGGGGGGGGAGAGAGAGAGAGAGAGAGAGAGAGAGAGAGAGAGAGAGAGAGAGAGAGAGAAAGTGTGTGTTTGTGTGTGTGTGCGTATGTGTGCAACAGTTCGTAAGTGTATGTATGTATGTATGTATGTATGTATGTATGTATGTATGTATGTATGTATGTATGTATGTATGTATGTATGTATGTATGTATGTATGTATGTATGTATGTATGTATGTGTACGTAGACAGGTAGGTAGGTAGGTAGGTAGGTAGTTAGGTAAAAAGGTGGGCAGGTTAGGTGGGTAGTTGGAAGGGTAGGTGGGTGTGCAGGAGATAAGGGGGGTAGGCGGCTTGGTGGGAGGGTAGGCGGGTGATTAGATGGGTAGGTAGGCGGGTAGGTAAGTAGGTAGGTACGTAGGTAGGTATGAGTGTGCGCCTGGGAGCGTACGTGCGTGGGTGCGAGCGGGCGTGCGGGTGCACGTGCGTGCATGCGTGCGCGCGTGAGTGCGTGCTTTCGTGGGCGCGTGTGTAAAGTACGTGCGTGCTTGCATGCTTGCGTGCGTGCGTGCGTGCGTGCGTGCGTGCGTGAGTACTTGAGTGCGTGCGCGCAAGGAAGCAAGGAAAGAAGCCTAGGTGAAGACAACTAGGAAGGGACAAATACCATTTCCAAGATACTTGACTCGACATAAAGACTTTGAGCATCTTAGATTATCTTATGTCCCCATATTATTATCTCATCTTATCTATTCCTATCACGTCTTATCTCATCTCATCTAATCTTACCACATATGGTCACTTTTAAGGACAAGCGAGCTAACCCAGATTTCGGGGGTTTCCAGAAATCTTGACCTACTCCAAAAGTGGGCATTGCCCTACCAATAGGAGGAGTTTGGTTTCATTGATATTTGTTTGGTTATAGAGAAAACCCTTCCTGTCTTTTAAAGGAATTGAACAAGGGTCCAAAAACTTTACTTTCGTTTTTTTCTCAAAACATAATTGTTCGGGATAGCCCCCTTTGTTCTTAAAAGCGACCATATTATTATTATTATTATCTCATATTTTATCGCTTTATGTGATCGTTTGCCTTGATGCCCCCAGAATACCGGGAAGCGTTTCACATGTTTGACAAAGACGGAGACGGTCGCATCACGGCCAAGGAACTGGGCACAGTCTTGAGATCGCTGGGCCAGAATCCCACGGAGACAGAACTGAGAGACATGATCAATGAGGTGGACGCTGACGGTAGGTATTGATGTTATGAGACGTGTTTGAGTGTCTGTGTGTATGGATGGGTTATTGTCACATTGTGAGTGGGTGTATGTGGGGGGGTTTTTGGTTTTTGTTTTGTTGTTTTGTTTTGTTTTTGTTTCTTAGTTCTTTAGTCAGTTAGTTGGTTAGTTAGTTAGTTAGTTAGTTGGTTAGTTAGTTAGTTAGTTAGTTAGTTAGTTAGTTAGTTAGTTAGTTAGTTAGTTAGCTTGTTTGTTTGTTTGTTTGTTTGATTGATTGTTTGTTTGATTGTCTGTTTGTTGTTTTGGGAGTTGGGTTCGGGAGGTTGGAGGGCGCCACTGGTATGTCCTGCTTCTCTACTTTCCCTCTGTTGTTTCTGTATGTCTGTTTGTCTGTCTTACTTTTTACCAACACTAAATGACCATTACTTTGTCGATGTGCTTCTCTTTACTCAAACAGATAAACAAACAAACTGGGAGGTGGGCTCGGGATCCATGTGAGAAAGTGTGTTTGTGGGGAGAGGAGAGAAGAGGAGCTGGTTCTGGCTGAGGGTGTGTGTAGACAAAAGGGAGTTAATATGAGCCGGAGAAAAGTGAAAGACAGACAGAGAGAGAGAGAGAGAGAGAGAGAGAGAGAGAGGGGGGGGCAGAGGGTTAAAGAGAGAATGTATGTGTGTGAGAGAGAGAGAGAAAGAGAGAGAAAGAGAGAGAGAGAGAAGGAGAGAGAGAAAGAGTGTGAGGGAGAGAGAGAGAGAGAAAGAGAGAGAGAGGGGGAGAGAGAGGGAGAGGGAGAGAGAGAGAGAGAGAGAGAGGGGGGGGGGTTCTTTTGTGTGGGTAAGCATGTTCATATATGAGGAATTTTGTGTGTTTATGTGTGTCTGTGTTTGTGTATGGTCACGTTATGGTGGTTGAGGGGAAGGAGATTGGGTTTGGGTTTGGATGCTAGAACGCTTTTGTGAGTGTGTGTGTGTGTGTGTGTGTGTGTGTGTGTGTGTGTGTGTGTGTGTGTGTGTGTGTGTATGTGTATGTGTGTGTGTGTGTGTTTGTATGTGTGTGAGAGAGAGAGAGAAAGAAAGAAAGAAAGAAAGAAAGAAAGAAAGAAAGAAAGAAAGAAAGAAAGA